AGAGAGAATAGTCTCATAAACTCTATGTCCCTGCCATCCACCTTCAATTATAAGCCTTTTGTGGGAATTCCCTGGCGGTCCAGTGGTTAGGACTCAGCGCTTTCGCTGCTGAGGGTCCAGGTTCAATCCCTGGTCGGGGAACTAAGATCCCACAAGCCGCGAGGCACAACCAAAAAGAGAGAAAAAAAAAAAAGATATAAGCATTTTGCCAATCTTTCCTCATCCCTTCTCTAACATTTTTTTCTGTAATATTTTAAAGCAAGTCCCAGACATCATATCATTTTAACTCTAAATACTTAAGCAGACATCTCTTAACTCATAAGGGCACTTTTTAACACAACCCCTGGGCCATTTTCACACCTAACAGAATTAACAGTGACCTCTTTTTCTTTTGTTTTTTTTTAAAGCTTTGTATATGCATTTTATCTTTTGAACCAGAACCTATTACATCTTTTTTTCCCCTAAATTTATTTATTTATTTACTTTTGGCTGCATTGGGTCTTCGTTGCTGCGTGTGGGCTTTCTCTAGTTGTGGTGAGCGGGGGCTACTCTTCATTGCAGTGCGCAGGCTTCTCATTGCGGTGGCTTCTCTTGTTGTGGAGCATGGGCTCTAGGCACGTGGGCTTCAGTAGTTGTGGCACGCAGGCTCAGTAGTTGTGGCTCGCGGGCTCTAGAGCACAGGCTCAGTAGTTGTGGTGCATGGGCTTAGTTGCTCTGCGGCATGTGGGATCTTCCTGGACCAGGGCTCAAACCCGTGTCCCCTCTATTGGTAACAGTGACCTCTTAATACCATCCAACACTGAGTTTGTAATCAGATTTCTCCAGTTGTCTCAAAACTGCCTCTGTTCTCATGTCTCTCTCTCTCTCTCTCAATTCCACTCTGCCTCTGCCCCCTTCTTTGCCCAGCACCTCTGACTCGGTTTCCGCTCTGTCCCCACATATCTTTTGAGTGTCGGTCTCTAATTTGGGGGCTGCAGGCTTACTTCTCTCCCTTCCCACAGCCTCCTCCAGTGCAGGGAGCCAGTGGGTAGAGAGAAGCAGGGCTGAAGAAGAGGAGGCCCCGTCCTCAGGGAGCTCCCAGGCCTGTGGACCAGGAGAGTGGGTCCAGGCCCCCTTGTGGGAGAGGCTGGATGGCTGGTGTGACTTGGGGGTAGCACCTTGTCAAGCAGCTCCCTGGTGGAGGCAGGGCCTTGGGTACCCCGCAGGCCTCCACACTCTTCCACTGTTTCTAGGAGGATACTCGGGCTCAGCGGCAGCGGCTGCAGAAGCACTTGGCCGAGCATCTGCGCCAGACCTGGGGCCGGCCAGGGCCCCCCCAACAAGCCCGAGACCTGGGAGAGCTGCTGCAGGCCTGGGGTGCTGGCGCCAGGACTGGTGCTCCCAAGGGCTCCCGCTTCACACATTCAGAGAAGTTCACCTTCCATCTGGTGGGTGGGCCTGAGTGGCCCTGGGGCATGCTGATGGGGCCAAGGCAGTATTGCTTGATGTACACACACCACATTTTATCCATACAGGGGCCCGTGTTCCCACCTGCCCTCTCCCCATGGTGGATGGGCACCCAGAACAGTCCCCTGGCTTCTTGGGGACTTCCGTGGAGAAAGGGTAGAGGGGTGGGAACTATGTAAGCGTGTAGGGCTGCTCTTTGTGCAGACCCCAGCTTTTCCTGGGCAGTTTCCTCTGGACATATCTTCTCTCCTTGGATGGTCATCCAGAGGGGCCCTCGTCCTTCTCATGGGCAGATGGGCAAGAGCTGTGTCAGGGTCAGGGAGGTTTCTTTATGAGCAAACACTCCAGTCTAAGGTCAGAGAGTGCATTGATCCTCACACACATTCTGACAGCCGTCAGTGGTACTGTACCCAGGTATGGTGCTGGGAAGGTGCTTTTGGTGGGTGTTGAGGCTGGGCTGTGAGGGGCAGGGCTTTCCCCGACAGCCAGGATGCTCCTTTCTCGCTCCCCAGGAGCCCGAGGCCCAGGCAGCCCAGGTGTCAGATGTGCCGGCCACCTCCCGGCGGCCTGAACAGGTGAGCAGAGCAATGGTGGGGCGGGGGAGGTGTCTTGGGCCCTTGGCTGTCTACTGGGCCTGACACCCCCACCCCGACTGCCTGTGCCTCCCAGGACACATGGGCAGCTCAGGAGCAGGAGCTGGAGTCTCTTCGGGAGCAGCTGGAGGGAGTGAATCGCAACATTGAAGAGGTTGAAGCCAACATGAAGACCCTGGGAATCAGCCTCGTGCAGGTGGGTGTGGGAGAGGGGCTGTCCACCGGGGTCAGGTCACAAGTCCGGCCTAGATGGCTTAGAGGGACTTGAGGGGGTACTCTGTAGAGGTCTGCACTTGTCAGAAGGGTTCATGGGAGACACTGGGGACCTGTGGGCCTCTTGAGGGTTCAGGAGAATCAGTGGGAATGAGAGGGCGATGTAGGGTTGGGGGTGGGGGTGGTGTTGGACCTGCAGGGGTTAGCGGTGCCTTGGTGTCTGTGAGAATCGGGAGGGGTGTAAGTGTCTGTGGGCCTCTGTAGGGGCTTGTGGGGCTCATCAGGGGTCCTGGGGAGTCAGTGTGGAGGTGGAGGGGTCAGAGGGGCCTGTGGGTGCCTGTCACTGCTTATAGGTCTCTGTTACTATCAGGAGGGGTCCGAGGGGCCCATAGGGCCCCTAGAGGGATGTGTTGTCATCTGAGGGCCTTGGGCTAGGTCAGGGCTCTCCAGGCTTAGCGGGGGCTGGGAGGTTGTGGTGTGCATGGGGCTTCCCCACTGACTGGGAGTGGGGATCCTGGGTGCCAGGTGGAGACCGAGTGTCGGCAGAGCAAGCTCAGCACAGCGGAGCATGAGCAGGCCCTGCGCCTGAAGAGCCGGGCGGTGGAGCTGCTGCCCGACGGGGCTGCCAACCTTGCCAAGCTGCAGGTGGGGCTGGCGCTGAGGCTGGGCTGGGAGGGTCGGAGTTGGATGGGCCCAGCCAGTGTGACATGTAGCCCCCCTGCCACCACCCCTAGCTCGTGGTAGAGAGCAGTGCCCAGCGGGTCATCCACTTGGCAGGTCAGTGGGAAAAGCATCGTGTTCCGCTCCTTGCTGAGTACCGCCACCTCCGAAAGCTCCAGGACTGCAGAGAGGTAGGTGGTGGGGTCCGGGGCCATGGGTGGGGCGGGTTCGGTTCCTCCCTAGGGGGCTAGCCCTGCGCTCTGCCTCACTGGCCTCTACCCGTGGGGTCCTGGCAGCTGGAATCTTCTCGACGGCTGGCAGAGATCCAGGAGCTGCACCAGAGTGTTCGGGCAGCTGCTGAAGAGGCCCGCCGGAAGGAGGACGTCTATAAGCAGCTGGTAAGGCCCGTGTGGGGGCCCTGGGCCACTCAGAGCCGGGGAGGTGTGGGTGCTAAGGGAGCACCTGCTGTCTCTGCCTAGATGTCAGAGCTCGAGACCCTGCCCAGAGACGTGTCTCGGCTGGCCTATACCCAGCGCATCCTGGAGATTGTGGGCAACATCCGGAAGCAGAAGGAAGAGATCACTAAGGTACGCCATCGTGGCCAGGGAGGGTGGGTCATACGGGTAGATATGCCGAAGGGGCAGATGTGTGTTGCAGGGCTACACGGGGACCTCACACCCTCTGAAAGTCAGAGCTATCTGGCCATACCCAGACACAGAAGAGCCCCACACAGTCCACTCCAGCCACCCCTGACCCTGTCTGGATGGGACAGCATAAACGTGAATGCCCTCAGCTGGCCGGCTGCCCGCCTCAGACGGGCTCACGGCTACCCTGGTCTCTGCCAGATCTTGTCTGACACGAAGGAGCTTCAGAAGGAAATCAACTCCCTGTCTGGGAAGCTGGACCGGACGTTTGCGGTGACTGATGAGCTTGTGTTCAAGGTGTGGGGCAGGCCGGGCTGGGTGCGGGGGTGGGGTGGGCCTTGGGCCCTGTGTGAGCCTCGTAGGTACACTGATGCTCGGGCCTGGCTTTGCCCTGGGGAAGATGAAGTCAGGGAGTGGGAGAGGGTGGCCTTGTGGGGGCCTGGAGGTGGGGGTGGGGTAGGGGCGGGGTGAGGCGGGGACAGCCCACCGACACCTTCAGGGTCTCCTCTGTCTGGTCAGGATGCCAAAAAGGACGATGCTGTTCGGAAGGCCTACAAGTATCTAGCTGCCTTGCATGAGGTGAGGGGAGAAGCGTGCCTGGGGGCTGGCTGGGGTGGGGCCAAGTTGGGGTGCAAGCCTTCTGCTCCTGCTGTCCCCAGAACTGCAGCCAGCTCATCCAGACCATCGAGGACACGGGCACAATCATGCGGGAGGTTCGAGACCTTGAGGAGCAGGTGAGGCCTGGGGCTGGGAAGGCTAACCAAGGCAGCTCCTCGGTTTATGCCAAGAGAGGCTGTGGAACCAGACACAGCCGTGCCCCTTAGGCGCTGTGTGTGTGACCTGGAGCAGCCCAGTGGCCTGCTCTGGCCCCCTCCTTCCCCCTGAGGGTCCTCACACCTGCCTCCCAGGGCCGTTGGCAGAGGCTTCAGCTCGAGTATGTGGTGGGCAGTCCTGCCACATAGCAAAGGATGCTTTAGGTGGACGGATGACATGTGCAGAGGCCTGGCGGTGGGACAGAGCAGGCTGCTGTTGGAGGGGGTGGAAGGAGCATGGGAGGGGCCCTGGGTGGCTGTGATGGGGTGGGGCTGGTGAGCAGGAGCTGGGAAAGTGGCCCTGCACGCTGAAGGGCTGCGGTTCGCATTGCCTTAGATTGAGACGGAGATGGGCAAGAAGACCCTCAGCAACCTGGAGAAGATCCGTGAGGACTACCGAGCCCTTCGCCAGGAGAACGCTGGCCTCCTGGGCCGGGTCCGTGAGGCCTGAGCAGCCCCCAGCAGAGGTCTCCTCCAGGCCTCAGGCAGGGATTTGGGGTGCTGGGGGCACTGGCCAAGCACTGGCCTGGGCCATGCCCTCTGCTTGTGGTCCAGTTCCTCCTGCTGTAGTCTTGGCCCCAGACCCTTGCCCACCTGACCCCAACCCTTATCTGGGGCGACCATCCAGAGTGTGGAAGCTCAGCTGCAGTTTATTGCGGAGGGTGCTGGGGGTTGGGGCCTTGGATCTCAAATAAATGAGGGGCTCTGTCTGCAGTCTAAGCTGAGGCATGGATGGGGGCACAGGGCACAGGGCTCAGGATGGGGGAGGGGGCGGGTGGCAGGTGAGACACTGGGTACATTTGGTGAGTCGGTGTGCATGGCCCTGGGTGTCTGCGTGGGACTCAGGACGCCCACTGGGGTGCTTTGTGGGTGTGTGAGATATGCAGGTGAGTTCAGAAAGTCTGTGCGACCGAGCGTCTGTGTCGGGAGCTGTGTGATACCGTGTGTGACCAGCATGTGTCTGTGTGGCTTTCTGGGACCTGAGATCCTGAAGGTACCGAGGCTGCTTCTGTGCGGGTGTCTGGGCATGCCCCGTGTGACGCTGCACCTGTGGGCCTGGAAGCTGGCTACGGGTGTGTGCTTTGGGGCATGTGGGTTGACAGGACTGTGCTCGGGTGTGACTGTTTGTGTGACTGCGGATTTGAGGTGGTGTGAGTGTACTGAGGCAGGCTCTTCGTGTTTTAGGGTTTGTATTGAGTCCAAGGGACAGGATTGCGACTCTCTGTGTCCTTTCCAGCCCTAAGGTCATCTGTGAGAGCGACTGAGGCAGGCTGTGTGTGTGGTCGGTTGTGAAGGCTCAGTTTGGCTGGAGAGCCGGTCGCAGGGGGCTGGGGCGGGGGTGTGGGGTTGGGGCCAAGGTCCCTCTGAGCAGCCTTGGTGCAGAGCATGTGATCCAGGAGGGCAGTCAGCTGGGGAGCAGGGTCCCTGGCCAGCAAGATGGTGCACACCTTACTTCTTGGTCCCTGCAGGGACGTTCAGGGCCGGTCACCCCTGCCTCCAGCCACTTCTACTCCCCCGTTTTGGCCCCTGTCCTTCCTTCTTTCCTTGGCTTTGAGGTCAGGAGCCGGGTGTGGGGTTGGAACACCTGCTGGGCCTCTGGCTCCTCTTCTTGCGGAACTCAAACTCATCCACGGTCCACACGGCCCCCTTCTCACTCTCCACGCGCACGAAGCACTTATGCAGGCTCAGGTTGTGGCGGATGGCGTTCTGTGGAAGGAGGACCAGCCAGCCGGGCCGGGGACGTTGGGGAGGGGAGCAGGCAGGCAGTCATCCTCTGAGGCCAGCAGTCCCCACCAAAAATCGACCTCCTGCCCTTTCTCAACATGCCTACAAGCCCAGTCCCAGGCCCGCCCATTCCTGAACTTGACCCAGCACCGCAGTGGCATTTGAGGCCCTCCCAGCCACTGCCACCTCCGGAGGTGCTCACCTTCCAGGTGGCAGGGTGGTTTCTGAAGAAGGCGAACATGTGTGTGAACCAGTGATAGATCTCGTTGAGTGTCCGCTGCTTCTCGGGAGCCTCCAGGATGGCCTGGAGGTTAGGGGGTGTGGGGGTAAGGGGAGCCGCTCCCCCAAATTCGGACTGAGAGGGGCACTGGCCCACCTTGGGCCTTCTGACCTGGGTGGAACTGTGGGGACGGGGGAAGGAAGGGAGATGGTGTGGGGTGACGGGTCAGAGACAGGGTTAGAAGCGGGGTGAGGGTAGGGCTGGGATGGGGTTAGGTAGAGGATCAGGTTTGAGGTTGGAGTGGGGTCTGCTTCAGGGTTAGGGCTAGAGTTAAGTTAAATTTCTGGGGTAGAGTTGGAGTTGGAGTTCTCTGTGAGAGTGAGGTTTCAGGGTTTGGGAAGGGTAAGGGCCAGAGAGTGGGGTCCAGTTAAGGATTTGGAAGGGGTAAAGGACCAGGCAGAGTTAAAGGTCAGGGAAGTGGCTGGTTAAAGGTCAGGCTGGGGATGAACTGGGGTGAGTCAAGGGGCAAGGGGTGGGATGACGCGTGACATTAGGTCAGGAGTCAGAGGTGGGCCTAGTTACGTAGTTATTTTATGTGTCAGGGATGTGGTTAGTTTCAGGGTCAAGAATGAGGTTGACTGTGTGTGGTCGTTAAGGGTCAGGGCTGGGATTAGGCGTGGAGTGAGGCTAAGGGTCCGGGAATTTGATCTGCTTGGATTTAGGAATGGAATTGCGTCAAGGGTCAGTGACCATGGCTGCGGTGAGGCTCCGGGTTGGGATGGGGCTAGGTAGGTGAGCGGGGGGCATTGTGTAGGGTTAGGTGTGGGCCTAGGATAAAGGTCCGGGTGGGCTCTGGTGAAGCCTCTGGGAAGGCACTAGGGGGATGATGATGAAGGGGTTGGGACGGGTCAGGTGTTACAGGAAGGGGTTAGGGATAGGGTCTAGGGTGGAATGTGTCGGCAGACTGGGGTACGTCTGGGCTGGTGAAGGAGTTTGGGGGCTAGTTTGGGGGCTATTTATAGGCCCAGGAGGCAGTTAGGTTTGGAGTTGATGTGGCCATCAGGAAGGGGGTGTGTTGAAGGCCAGCTTTTAGCTTGCACTGGCTTGGATGGCAGTCTAGTTGTGGGTTTGGGGGCAGGTCTGGGGTGAAGATGGGGGATCACATCTGAGGCGTGGGTTTGTTCAGGCAGGAGCCCGCCTGGGGGTGCTCAGAGAGAGGCAGATCCTCCACCCCGCCCTCTCTTCCTTCTCCTCAGCCCGGCACTCTGCTTACCCAGCGGATGAGGGTGGCATAGGTGAAAGGGGGCCGCATGTTGTGAAACTTGAAGTAGTCCATGTTGTGGAAGAACTCTGGCAGAGGTACGGTGGGATCAGGCCCCGTCAGGGAACTCCTCGCTCCCTCTCCCACCCTCTGCTCTCGACCGACCGGCTGTCGAGTCTGCATGCCTGAAATCCCACCGTGAATACCGCTTTCCAGGATCCCAGTCACTGTTTGCTAAGCACTTGACATAAATGATATCATTTCCCCTTTGCACCGCTTCCACCAAAATGGGGCTTATTCTCCCCAAGGCTTAAAAGAAATGAAGTAACTTCCCCATGAAATGCATGTAACTGGTTAAATGGCGGAGTCAGGATGGCACTCGAAGGCCCTAATCGCTATTAAGCCCACAGCCCAGACTTTGCGGGCAGTAGGGGATTGGTGAGCTTGGGCGAGTCACCCTGCTTTTCCTTGGTGGGGAGAGGGAGAGTCCCTGGGAATTACTAAGCTAGCTCTCTTCCTTCTGATGACCAAATGGAGTAGCTGAAGCGCAGAGTGAGTGAGCCCTAATCCTCAGGGGAGACAGGGCTAGGACTAGACATCTGAGACCACAATGGGGGCTTGGAGGCCATGGAAATCCAGAGAGGAAGCTTTTACGAGCAGTTGCCAGTTTCCAAAGGCTGGGTGGCAGTGGTGGGGAAGAGCAGTCCCCCGCCCAGTACCAGGCAGGGAGATGAGGGGCTCAGAGGGCACCACGTAGGGCACGTACCATCCTTACCTGGGATCGTGCTGTTTGCATGGCTGCCCCAGAGGTGCCTCCGCACAGCAAACAGGCCTTCAGGGGCCTCTTGGGGACCCGGCCAGGCTGGGACAGTGGTGCCCGGGGTGCCAGTGGCTACGATACAGCAGGAGCCCTTGTCGGATGATGCCTGGGGGAAGAGGGAGAGGCTGGTGACCCAGAGGCTTAAACTTGCCACTTTAGTTTTAAATAAGTGTTTTTAAAAGTAAGGGCACCCTCTTCTCAATTCCACTCTGATGTAGAATCCCACAAAGCAGCACGAGCCATATTTATTAAAGTGCGGGTACGGACACTAGTGTGTGTAGCACACCAGTGCCAGGGCCACGAGCTAGGGTTGAATTGGGCTCCTCTGCTACCCAACTGCGACCTTGGGAAAGTCACCTAAGCCTCCCTGGCCTCAATTTTCCTTATCTGTGAATTGGGGATGATAGTAATACCTACCTCACCATGCATCATGGGGATTAAATAAGTTAACATCACCAAAGTGCTCACAAACAGTGCCTGACACCCAGGGCCAGCTTCTATGCGATCTCTGAAGGTCTTGGGGCCCTGCACTTTGTTTAATGCTCTGCGGTCGTCATTTTGAAATCTGAGCCCCGTGATTTCATTTTGCACTGGGCCCTGTGGGTTATATAGCTGGTCTTGCCAGCGGCACACAGTCTGCATTCAGTGTTTGGCGATTTGCTGTTGCTTTGCAAACTCAAGATCATGATTTGGGATCTTAAGGTCAGAGGGTTTGTAGGTAGAAAGGGACAGATTCCTAGGTCTGGGCATGTTTGGAGCTGGGGACAGGGGCCCAGAGATCCCAGGGCCTGGGTGCAAGGATAGGTCCCCCGCCCCCTGCAGGGCCTCTCTCTCCCCTGCTCCCCAGCAGTCTGTGCAACCTGTAGGCCTGGGGTGGCTCACCGTGGATGGAGCCTTGGTTGGGGCCATCTTCCCAGCCAGGTGGGCTTGCATAGCACCCAGCTTCTCCTTCTCCAGCACCAGCTGTGAGGACAGGCACAGAGTGAGGCCTCAACCTGATCTTTCTCCACCACCTCTTTGTGTAGGCTGTGGTCTTCCCTGGGAGTGCCCTGCCCCCTTCCTTCCTTCATGCCAGCCCCCATCCTGGGTGAGCTTGTATCCTGGCACAGGGTGGACGTACGGTTCACCCACCGCCCCCCTGCCCCCGCTCCCCCCATGTCACCTGTTGCTCCAGAGACTGCACCACCTCCCTCTGGAGGAGACACTGTGCCCTGCCCTTCTCATCCAGGAGATGGTCTGCCTGGCAGTGCCTGGGTAGCGGAAAGAGTCCATGCGGGTGACCATGGCGAGCCTGGCTTCTCGGCTCAACATTCCTAGTGGGGAGGGCTCAGACCCTCTGGGAGGAAGGTCTCTCCTCAGAGCCTCAGCCTCCCTCCCCTCTTTCTACCTCAGTCTTCCTTTCACACCTGTCATTCCTTCAACATATGCTACTTGGCATCTACTGTATGGCCAGGGTGCTGGAGATGATGATGGAAGGGTAGTGAGCTGAGAGTGGGAAAGGCATTCCCGGTGGAGAGTACAGCTTGTGCGAAGGCCTGGTTGTGAAGAGGACGGGATGCACTGAATTGCCACTGATAGTTGGGTATGGTTGGAAAAGTGTGTGTGTGTGTGTGTGTGTGTGTGTGTGTGTGAGAGAGAGAGAGAGAGAGAGAGTGAGAAAGATAGAGAGATGGGGCTGAGAGGAGGCAGCAATAGCCATTGTGAGGATCTGGGACTTTGGGGGTCAATAAAATCAATAAAAGGCTGGTGTGTTGGCATGAGGGGGGGGTAGCAGGGCAAAGCAGTTAGGAGTGTGGATTCCGGAGGCTGGCTGTTACTCAGGAACTGGGTGATCTTGATCAAGACACTTAACCTCTTTGGCCTCAGTTTCTTTGTCTGTAAAATGGAGGTAAATCATAGCACACACCTCTGTTATGATGCCCCCATTATACAGATGAGGAAACCGAGGCTCCAAGAAACTAAGTAACTTGCCCAAGGTCACAGAGCCAGTGAGTGATGGAGCCAGGATCTGAACCCGCAGTCTCAGCTTTTGCCTCTTTCATGTTACCCCTTATCGGGATGAGGCCTGAGCTGAGACCTGCACCCCAGACCTCCTCCCACAAACTGGGGCCCCCCTGGACCGGAACAGGCCTGACCCACTCACTTGAGGAAGTCCTCTGGCTCCTCGAAGACCTTCTCACATCCGGGCCACTTGCAGACACCATTTGCTAGCAGTGAGTAGGAGCCCTGGGGCATGGTTGAAAGGGTGCTGGGGGGACAAAGTGTGTCAGAGGAGGGGATGGCAGGGCAAGGGTCCTTCCCAGCCCTGCACACTGACCTGTCCTTCCTGGGCACACCGGGGCTTGGGAAGGTGCAGAGCAGTGCTGGCTCCCTGGACACCCATTCCAGGCTGGCCACGTTGATCCCTGCAGGTGGGGACAGGGCACCTCTGGGGGCTGGGGGCCAGGCTCTGGAGCTCGGCCCACAAAGCCTCTCATTTTGAGCTTCCCACCCTCCTGAGCTTTGCAGGCCCAGACTCCCAGGGCGCTCTGTGGTCCCTAATCTCCAAGGCTACTGGTGGAGCAGCTCAAAGACTGCGCTGACATTTCGACTAACTTTGCAAAGATCTGTGGTTCCGTGATTTTGACACTCTGTGTCTTTAAGGTTCTGAGCCTGACATTTTTAGAGGTTGGAGTTTCCAAGATGATAAGACCTGACACCTCTGGCCTCCTGAGGGCCGCAAGTCAGCAGCCCACACCACTTATGTTCAAGGATTGGGGGCTCTGGGCTTCTGTGGAGCCGTGGGGTACAGTGTTACCAGGTGGCAGGCCGGGCCGGGCCTTGAGGGAGAAGACCCCCGTAGCAGCAGTGGGTGGCGGGAGGCTGATCATAGCTGGGCTGTCCAGTGGGCGCACCTGCAGCACAGGGGTCCGGGCATGGGCATCCACCGTTGAGAGCTAGGGGCACATGGGGTCCATTTCAGCCAGGTCCTCTCCCCAGTTCTCCCGCCTGCTCCCTCCTCCCTGCCTGTTCTGGGTTGGTACCTGGTGCACAAAGTGTGGCCTGTCCTGGAGGAGTGCCTGCAAGTGGGGCGAGGGACCCAGCCGTGCTCCAGAGGGTGCCACCATGACGAGGGGCACTGTGGGCAGCTGGGGGAAGGCAGGCGGGTGAGATGCCATCCTCATGTTCACTGTTCTACATGTCTAACCCGTATACTCCTCACCAACGACCCCACGTACTAGGCAGAATGACCAACCCCATTTTACATATGTGGAAACTGAGGCTCACGGAGATTGGGTGACTTTTTCAAGATCAAACAGCTAATAAGTGGCAGAGCTGGCCTCCATCCTGTCACCTCACCTCCCTGGGCCCCAAGCCCTCTGTCACAGGGGGATGGAGACACACATGGCTATGGCTGTGGGACCATGATAGGGTCTCCTATCCTGAGACAGGGATTGGGAGGTTGCGGAGAGCCTCGAATCTCTGAGACCTGCTAAGTGGGGACTTTCTTGGCCCCGTGACATCTGCATAAGTCACAGACGTGCCTGGGACCCAGAAAACCACTTCCTGTGCCCCAGCTGGGCCCCCCGCCCAGTGCCACAGTAAAGGTCGGCACCTATAGGCCCAGGTACCCCACCCTGCCTGCCCCATCCTGGGCCCTAGGCCTCACCTGCAGCTGCGATGGTGGCATGGGGTTCAAGGAGGAAGAGGAGGCGTGAGCCCCACCTCGGAGGTCCCGGCCCTGGAAGGTTGTCCCTGGGCCCTTGGCTCCCAGCTGGTCTGAGGCCTTGGGTGCAGCCCTCCAGCTGGGCAAGGCTCCTGGGGATGGGCTGAGTACCAAGGAAGGGGCCAAGGGCTTGGCTGGCCTGGGGTTGGGCATTGGGTCCTTGTCCGAGGGCAGGCTGCGGGGACACAAGGGGAAGGAGTTACAAACGTGCTGGGGTGTGTGTGAAATGCTCAACCATCTGAACCATGTGGACACCCCCTCTGGTCAGAGCAGGCATTGGCTGGGGTGTGTCCCAAAGGGGCCCCAGCTCTGGTCACGTGTGTGCGCGTGTGCACACACATACTCGGTGTCAGGAGCACGGGTGTGCCTGTGTCTCCAAGCACACGCCACGTGCAGACATACACGGAGCCAGCACACAGCGTGCCTGTACACGCTGGCACAGGCCTGGTGGGGAGGTGTCCTCCCTGAGGGTGGTGGGGAATTTGGGGTGGTTTGTGGGGCCTCAGCCAGGATAGGTCTCAGCACTTGAGTGGTGCTCTTCAAGCCTCAGCCCTCCTGTCCTCCCTGAACCCAGTATAGGCCACACGACCTTTGCTGATCCCACGGGGGCTGCTTTCTGATTTTCTCCTGGGAGCATTATGTTACCCCAGTGACGGGCATATCTGGGAGTGCAAGGTGGGCATGGACTCCAGAGATCCCTCTGGCTGCTGTGGGGGGGCAGACTCTAGGAAGGTGAGGGCAGAAGTAGGGGGACTAGTGAGGAGGCTACTGTAATAGTCCAGGCAAGCAACAGTCCAGACCAGGATGATGGCAGTGGAGATGGTGAGAAGTGGGTGGGTTCGGAGTTAATGTTTCGAAGGTGGAGTCAGGAGAATTTGCTGGCAGCTTGGATGCGGAGGGTGAGAGAGGGAGGGTCAAGGTGACTTCTGGGTATTAGCTGAGCAGCTGGAAGGACAGAGCTGACATGACCTGAGATGGGGGAGATGGGGGAGCAGGGTTGGGGGTGGTGATCCAGGTGTGGAGGGACATGACGACTCTGGTGTTAGACATGCAAGTGGCAAGGCCGTGTGGAAGCTGAGTACAGGAGTCTGGAGCTCTCCATCTGAGATCATCTCTGGGCTCCCGCCCCGCATGGAGCTGGCAGGGCAGGTGCCAGAGAGGAGGAGAGACAGGCTCTCTTGAGCCGGGGCCTGTGCGAGCTCCTCGACTCGGCTCCCACCGGAGTTCATCCCAATCTCTGCTCTTCAGGCCTGCCTCCAAGCCTTTGTTCATGCTATTCAACCTGCCTGGAATGCCCGCTCTTCCTCTCTTCCCCTATCCAAGCCCTATCCAGAAAATCCTCCAGAATGGCTCCAGAACCTTACACTCCCCGATGGGCAGGGCCTTGGTTTCTCGGAATGCTAGAGTACCAATCCGAGAGGAAGCCAGAGCTGGAAGGGACTGCCAAGCCCAACTTCCATTTTACTGAAGGGGACAACCAGGTACAGTGTCCCACAGCCCCATGGTGACTTGAGATCTCTACTTCTTTCTCCGGAAAGTGTGTGTGTGTATGTGTGTGTCTCCCCACCCCGCCCCATAGCACTGGGTTGGGCACACAGCTGCCGAGAGCAGCCCTGGGGAGCAGAAGAAGGGCTCTGAGGGGGCAGTTGCTCCTTTCTTTCTTTGCTTTCAGCTCATGGGGGTTGCCAGAGTTATGGTGCTGACGGAGGTGGGGGTGTGAATCCAGGTATTTAAACCCTTACTCTCTCGGGGCCTTAGAACATTACTGCGTGAGAATCAGGAGCCTGGGTCTACGGAGGCTCAGAACAAGGGCCTGAATGAGTGCATGAAGGCGGAGATCAGGGTGTTGCTTGTATAAGCCAAGGAATGTCAGAGCGCCAGCAAACCATCCGAAGCTAGGAGAGAGAACAGATTTCTCCCTCGTAGCCCTACAAGGAACCAACACTGCTGACACCTTGATCTTGGACTTCTGGCCTCCAGAACTGTGAGACAAAACATTTCTGTTATTTAAGCCACCTAGTTTGTGGTACTTTGTCACAGAAGACCTGAGCGAACCAATACTGATTTTGGTGAATGAGTGGATGTTTTCCACCGCTCTGGCCTGGCCTACACGGCTAGCCTGTGGTCACTTCTCAAGCTGCCTGGACTCTTGGCCAGAGCCTATGAGAAATCGCCTCCTCAGACACATCTGCAACAACCTGACTCAGGGCAGCATAGATACATTCTCAGAAGGGGGCCGTGGATATGGTCTGTCTCGTGGCGGGGTACCTGGAGGGCCAGATTGGGCAGCCGGCTTCCTGCACTGTCTGTTGGCGCATCCTTTTCTGACTATTTCTTAGAAGCCACATGGAGGATGTTTCTGGGACATAGTTTGTGTTTTCGTATCGGGGTCTGCATCTGGGCCTTGTTGTCACAGCCCCCGACTTCCCCAGATATTTCCGCCATTGACGTCATGGCGGCCGGATGCGCTGGGCTTCATCGGCACCAAGGAGGAAGAGAAGGGGGCAGGTACCCTACCCCACGGGTTTCGTTCCGAGAATTGGCCGTCCCGTCCTGCAGCCGGCCAGGCCCAGGTGGGGTGATGTGGGTGCTGGCGGATGTGGTGAGTGACGTCCGTCTGGCCACCATGACAAGCCCTGGGCCCTGTAGACCCGGCCCTTTTTGGGCCATGGAGAGGCCCAAGGTTTGATGCTTGGGGAGCGCCATGCAGACCCCACAGAGACTGGGACCCTCAGGGTCTTCAAATGGTACTATTCTAGAACCTCAGAATCGTAGAACATCATTTCTTAGATTCAAATGATCCCAGAATCTCAAACCCACAGACTCTGTGGGGTCCATGGGTCCAACTTCTCAGTAGGTGAAGGCCTATGTCCCTGGTGTCCAAAATCACTGGAACTTCCCGAAGTTCCTAGTGCCTCCCGCCTGCCAGGCCTGGAATTGCAGCAAGCCTCCCTCCTAAGTTCTGTGAAGGCAGGAGGGTCAGAATCGTCCCCTCTGCTTCCCCCAGCCTGGGGCCAGGCTCTGAAACAAATAGCTGTAACTCTCCTTGGGCTCATATGTAAAACAGGACAATAATTGTACCCATCTTCCAAAGTTAATGCACATGAAATGCTTAACAAAATGTTGGTGATCAGTAGATGGACCCCTGCAGGGCCTCCATCTCCCTGTCCATTCTGGGACAGCGCTCCCAGACTCACAGCCATTCTGCCAGAGATGGGGAGGGAAGGAAGGGGACATTGAGGCTGGCAGACCTTCAGCTAGGACCTCATGGTGGGAGCAGTCAGAGCCCTGGCCTTTGCCGGTAGAGTCTACCACCAGGCTCTCTGGAGGAGCCGTGGGATAGAGGATCCCAGGGACCTGTGCCAACTCTGGGGACACGGCTGAGCTCTGTCCACAGCCAGACCCACAGATATACCGACTGACTTATGTCCCTCTAGTATCACCACCCTCTGGCCATGAGGCCTCCTGACCCATGGGGCCCTGGGACCCCACCCAGCCTAGCTCTTGTGAGGCTAGCCCCACACTGTGACCATGAGGGTCCAACTTGTGAGAGGGTAGAAGGGGGAACGGCAGCAGCTGGGAGACAGCCCAGGGTCCCCCTGCCCCTGTCATGGGTGCTGAGGGGTAAACTGAGGCCCATTGTGGGGGAGAGACACAGAGCCAGGGCCCCACTGAGAGTCCTGAGATCTGAGCTTGGGTCTCAACTCTACCACTGCATCTCTGTGAGGCCTTCAGAGAGGCCCTCCCGCCCATCTCCCAGCCTCAATTTGCCCCTCTGTACTCTGGGAAGGGGAGAGGTGTGGAGCGGATGAGGGCCAGGGGCCTTGTGCTCTGTGTCTGAGTGAGCCGTTAGGTGTCTGTAGGGCTTTGATTCGATAACTGCCGTTCTACCCAGGGGACTGGCTGAGAGACAGAAACAGAGATAGACAAACAGACATAGGCAAACAGAGAGACACAGAGAAGAAGAGCTACAGAGAGAGATGGGAGAGACATGAGGTGGAACAGAGATAGACACACAGAGAGAGAAACAAAGAGAACAAGAGAGATAGTGAGAGACACCGAGAGAAGGAGAGACAGTGAGGAGGGGGAAGGAACCCATAGGAGCAGAAAGTCAAAGAGAGAACAAGAGAGACAGAAACAACACAGGGAGATGGGGAGAGACAAAGAGAGAGAGAGAGAGAGAGAGAGAGAGAGAGAGAGAGAGAGATGCTCCAAATAAGAACAGTTGTTGGTCTCTGGCTGGAGGAGCTGATCCTTCGTTATTCCAAAATAATGAGGAATAACAAAGGGCAAGATGCCAGGGCCTTCGGCCGGGTGCTATATTGTATTGCAGAGCAACAATCAGCAAAGCGCTGTGGCCCTGGCACCAGAACAGACACCGAGGAACAGAACAGAATGGAAAAGCTCAAATACAGACCAATGTCTAGAGGGAATGGAGTCTGTGATGAACACGGCATTTCAAACCAGGGGACGCTGGAGAATAGATTGTTTAACAAATGGTTCTGGGATAATTAAGGGGAAAATAAAGCTAATGACTAACCAGTCCATTTTTCCACCAACCCCTTCCTGCCCAGTTTGAAATGTCACCCTCATCATGTACCCTAAAATAAATTCCAGATCCATTAAAGAGATAAATAATAATCTTATATGGATCTTGGGTTTATTGTATGCCAGGCCCTAGGCTAAGCATCTAACAAGGTTGAGAGATTTAATCCTTACAACCAACCTTTGAGGTCAGTACTATTATAACCATCACAGTACCTATGAGGAAATGGAGGTATCGAGAAGTTAAATGCCTGGCTAAAAATCACACGAATTGCTTGAGCTGAGGCTGGGTTTGTCCCAGACAGTCTGGCTCCAGTACCCACACTCTTAACCTCTACAGTAAGTGGAAAAAATGAAGCCATAAAAGAGAATAAAAGCCAACACAGGTGAACATTTATCTCATTTTCAAGTGGGAAAGGACTTTCTAAGCACAAAACCAGAGACAGTAACCGCAGAAGAAAAGACTAACCTTGTTGACAATATAAAAACATCATAAGCATCACAAAACAGCATGAACAAATAGCAAAACAACTTCAGTAAATGATGAATTGAGAGAAAATATTTGCTATATATGTACGGCTGATGGAAGGCTAATATCCTTTTATATAAAGAGCTGTGACAAATCAATAAATAAAAACGATGAACACCCTATTAGGACTAAGGACTTGACCAGACAACTGAAAAAAAAAAAAAAAAGCACATATGGTCAACAAACAGTGTAAGTTATCGAAAGATGCAAATTTCAACAACATGGTAATATTTTTCTTACCTGTTATGTTGAGAAAGGATTAAAAAATGACAATACCCACCCACGGTTAGCTTGAGTAGAGGGAACATAAAACAGGACAACCTTTTGGAAGAACAATTTGCAGAGAGGGTCAGAAACCTTAAAAATGCACAAACGCTTTGCCCTAGCCACTCGATTTGTAGGAATCCGAGGAACTAATATGGGATGATTATGCGAAAAAACTAGAAACAACCCGAATGTCCAAAAATCAGCACTTGGTCGAACCAGTCGTGGTTCATACCAATGTGAGGACAGTCTGAACAGTTATGAAAGATCATACGTTGAAACATTTTTCAGTGACCTACAAAAATGCTCCTATTCATTGAATAAAGCAGAAACAAAAGCAATAGATAGCTAGATAGCATGATTCTAATTTGATTAAAAAATACTAACAGTTAACACTCAGTGAGCACTTGCTAAGCCTGCAGAGACGAGGTCACCCCAGACCTGAATGGCCTGCTCTGTTCCTGGACATGGATCCTGGCCCTCCCCCCACAACACGAGGTCCTGAGGGTAGAATCCCACAGCTAAACCATGGTTGACAATTGCGTGAAGTGCCCCCCTGGAGGGTCTCCTCATGCGGTGCAAGCGCAAGTTCAAGTTAAGTGCTCAGCCCAACCCGACAGCCCACAATCCTCTTTCGATTGGGGCAAACAGAATTGATGCTCATTCTTGTAAAATGTAAATGTCCTCCTCGACATTACTCAACACACTGTTATTAAGCGCCAACTGTACAAAGCTCTGTGCTGGAGGCTGGGGGTAGAGGGGGAGAGGCAGGCAGGGGGAAGGCAAGACGAGTGAGCAGGAAAGGCGGCGGGAGAGACGGAGGAAAGGAGATAAATGGAGTGTGGTCAAGTTGGAGGAGACAGCGACAGGGGAGATGGTCAGAGCCAGAGAAAGACAGAGGGGTGGAGAGTCTGCGTGCCAGGGAAACAGAAAGAGAGGGGCAGAGAATCATGAAAAGAGTGAGACAGAGAGGGACGGGAGATATCGAGAGAGAAGAGCCAAAGGTATGTCAGAGACGTCGCTGATATTTCCAGTTACACCTGGACAGTGTTTCAAGTTGTTCAAAGCTCTGAGATTCATAAAGACTGGCAGCTGATATATTTAAAAAATCCTACCCGTCCACACATCGATCCATTTATTTATCTTTGCCTCTGCCTCAGCACTGATTAAGTACTTGATCTATCAGTCCTCTGGCGTTTGTTATTAGTATTATTACTGTAAAAAATACCTTACCTGACCAGGATCACAGGAGCTGCTGCGTGTGTCTTGCTGGTCCCCGAGGGCCCCTGACTACCCTCCAACCCAGTGCCTACCTCACTGTCGTCTCTTCCGCTGGACCCGCATCTGGTGGGGGAGAGCGGGGACACTCACCTTGGTGAAGTGGACTGACAGAAAAGGATCAGCCTGGCTTGTGGGAAACTGTCACATATCAAAAACAACTTTGCTTTTATACCGAGAAGAAAAACCACGGTGTGGAAGCCACAGACCTCTCTCTTCTAATAATCCAATTTTTTTTTTCGATGAGTGTGTACGCTGATAATCACGGGGTGGGGGGGGTTCTCATAGTTTTTTCTCTCTCGCTCTCTCTCTCACTCGCTCACTCTGTTTCTCCTCTTCTTGATTATGAGACTTAAACGGAAATTTTGAAATTTTGGGTTTTTTGTTTGCCCTTTACGAGTCATCTGAAAATATGATTTCTTCCCCTCACTACAGAGGTGAGAGGTATCAATGAGATAACAGGGCTCATGAGAAACTACAGTTTTTAAAACAAAAGTGTGTAGAGTTAGAAAAAAAGGGAAAAGAACTCAAATCACAGGGACATCCCAGGCAGGGAGAGATGCCACTCTGTGAGTGAGGGGATATTTGAGGGTCTCTGGGGAAAGGAAGAAAGGAACTGAGATGCTACATGTGGATGGGAAACACCAGGGAAAGAAATGGAATAGGGCTGCGTTTCCAGAGGCCTTGCTCTGGTCCAGGCCTCAGTTTCCCCTTAAGTGGAATTGATACGGTCATCACGGTCTTACTGCCCAGGGGTGGGAGCTCCGGATACTCTTGCAACCCATCTTCTCACAGAGGGTGAGAGGCATGGAAATTACTTCATGGAGAAAAAATCAGGGAGTCCCTCCCTACCCCCGACAATTCACAGAATCCAAGAGTCTGAGAATCATTGGCTCCCAGAATCCACTGAACATCACTGAGTGAGGAAAGGGAGAAAAGTCTTGCCTCATTACATCTTAGGGCCTGAGAGCTCTGACCCAGAGGGGAAGGTCCCAACCAGGCCCCAGTATTAATGAATCCATCCTCACAAAGCCTAGAGAGGCTCGTTGGGACCCCAATCTTCTCATGGTCAGGGACACCATGGCCCGATGCTTCTGAGGCCCTCAGCCTTTGCGATTTTCTACTTCGAAAAGTCCCAGTTTCCAAGGATTTAGGATTCTAAATATCCACCATCATCCCCGTAGCCGACAATTTCTCAGATTTTCCATGTGCCAGATGCACCGCCGAACACTTTTCACAATTATCGTGTTCAATCCTCACCACAGCCCTTGGATTTCCATCTTGTCGTCATGGCCGTTATACAGATGGGGAAAACGGAGGCACGAAGTAGTCGGGCAGCTTGCCCAATATCACAGAGCTGGAGGATAGGGGCCCTGCGTTCCATTGGTGCTGGGCTTTGAAACCGCCAGGTTTCCTTGAGCACAACGGTCTCAGGTTTTAAATTCTAGGCTGCAATGATAGGGAGGTTCTGAGATTTGGAGATTCTTCTGGGGGCTTGAAGGTTTCAGGTTGTCCAAGACTTGGCGGCTGCATTTCCTCACCTCCGCAGGCACCCCCTCCAACCAATGGTCAACAGGGGAGACCAGCCCCCAGGGGCTTCTCCTGACAGGCTGTGGCTGAGACTCCCTGCCCTTGGCTCTCCAGTGCCCTGCATGACCCAGAGTTCTGTCATCCAGTGTCCACTCCAACCCGTCTGCAAGACTGGCTTCAGGCCTGGGAAAGAGAAATTGGAAACAGATTTTTATTCACATGGTATAAACCTACTGGCCAAGACCCCCCCTTTACCCCTTTGCTTCTTTTCCTCCCACCATCTCCCAAATCCTCAAAAGAAGGAGAGCCTCTTTCCTCAACTCAGACTCACCTTTCTGGAAAAGCCCAGAGGGGGCTGGTGGCCTGGCTTTGTGAAGACAAGAGAAAAAAAAATAGGTGAATAGAAAAAAAAAAAAACTAAAAAAAAATCAGCCAACAGCAATAAAAAAAAAAAGAACCCAACCCTCCCTACCATTAGTTCAAAACAAAACTTTCACTGGTTGAGGCTTCTGAGTTGGTGGGACATGTCTGAGACCCAAAGATGGCCTGTGTGTGCCAGGCAGGCAGGGGAGGCACCAAGTGGGGTGAGGTCTCAGGTTGAAGGCCTGCAGGGACCCTGCATACAGCAGGGGCTTAAAAGATATGGCATGTGGTTGGGAGCAAGAGAGGGGGTGAGGCGCGTGCTCATCAGGAGGGAGTCCAACTTTAGGGATGTCCCTAAGGTTAATTAATGACCCCTTGCTCCCTGTCGACTTGGTTCTGAACATTCCCTACATGTCCCATGTAACTATAAACCAGGTCAGTTCTAGAAGCCGAGGCCCCATTCCCTGCCTCAGGACCTGTTCCCTCCTGAGAGAG